CCTTGATTTTTCAACTATCCACTAACACTATTCCTGGTGACCCCAGAAGACGTTTTAAACGTACCTGGTATCGTGATCTACTAAATTAAAATGTAAAATGTATTTACTTCCCCTTCTTCTCCTGCTCGATCTCATTCCCTTCCTAACGCGTTAAAAATAAATTCTTGTCCTTAAGTGCCGCCAATGGGTGGCTTCTTATCTTCTGTCACTCAAGCCATATTTCCTTCTTTATTTTTCACATACACTTATTGTAAAATAATAATTAAAGATTGTGTATATCAAAAATAAATGTTAAAAAAAAAAAAATTTATTATACAGTTCATTAACAATATATTTATTAACTTAGGGCGAACAAGCCAACCTACTACTATTGTAGGCACTTGTCGCGCCAACAATGACAATGATGAATTGTACAAGTGTCTTTAATCTAATCTATGTATATTATCTGTCGACAGATTATTGCCGATATCAATCGAGATATGAACTTTGATCATCTCGGTAATCTAATCCAGATATAATTTCAGACATGTTGAATGGAAATTATCAAATTCAGTTCAATTTATATTTATAAGACGTTGGTAGTAGTTTAATTATTTTGTTGTTAAATTTTATTTGATGAAAATTCATTTGAAACTGTTGTAGTTACAATATTAATATTTCTACGTAATACATTTGTGTAGTACCATTGTTGAACAACTAAACAAGTAAAATGATTCATATGTACTTTACATAAATTGAACAATATAATATATGTGGGATTATACTTCACAGAAAAATTACTTTTGCTAGAACTAATGTGGAAACTAGTAATCTAATGTATATTTGAATAATTTGATTATTCGAATATTCGAAGTCGTATAGTTTTATCGTAAATAATTGGAATATTTGAATATTCGATCGTTTGAATATCAGTATTCGATGCTACAATACCTAATTTGTTTTATCCGTTTTTCCATGACAAGCTTTTTATACTATTTATTATTAATAAGTAATCCATATCTACATAACTAAAGATAATGTATATCAACCTAATGTAAATCGACCTAAATACAAAAATAGTTCTTATCTTGCAGGTACTTGTTCGTAGTTGGCTTTATTTTACTCGTTATAGACGATAACTCGTAATAACCATACTCGTTGTAGACGTAATTTTAACATATAATCATATGTGCCGTGCCGGGACCTAACATTTTGTTTGTTGTAAGCAGTATCTCGTTCTAAGCGATGCTTGCTATAGTGATTTATAGTTTATACTGTATTAATAATAATTTAATTATGATATTCGAGTATTTTGCACAGTTTTTATTTCTGTATTTTAATTGCCTTGTCAAATAGTAAATATCGCTGGCTTCGAATCCACTTCTCGCAGGCCTTTATGCACCATAATCCATATAATATTATTATTAAACGATTGTTGAATTGTTGCGTGAAAACTTAAACGAATCATTTTTGTTACGTATTGTATTGTAGCATCGAATACTGATATTCGAATGTTCGAATATTCGAATTATTTACGATTGACCAAAAATTTGTTCGTGAAGAACATTAAAATTTCCTACTGTAAATCAAACACATATTATATTGTAAAATAGAATATTAATGTAGTATAATAGGCACGATACTAACATAGGCGCAACTAGAGCTTATATTTATAAGGGAGAAGGGCTATAAGTAAAAAAATAACGCAGGCTCGCAGGGGTAACAGCCCTACACCCCATCTACTAATTTATACATACAGACAAAATTTGTCACTGCTCACTACTATAGGTATAGTTTAAATTTTAATCACACTATCCCTCATAATTGCTTCTAAAAAAATCAGCAGTAATTCACATAAATAATACACGAATGTGCACAAATTCAAGAATTGTGAATAACAAGAATTATCAAACTTAATAATTATTACGTGTATTGAAATTATAGAAAAAGATGATTAGATTTCATCTCATTCTTAACACACAAAATTCTGAGATTCATTAGTTTTAACCCGGGAAAGCTATGGAAATATTTGGAAGGACTAAGCTCGCCCTAGTAGCACCCATGAATACGTATAAGGTATAGAAAATTATGTATCCAAGCTCAGGCGTGTGAACAAGTGGAGGTTTTAGGGGTTCAAACTCCTCCCGAAATGTAGGAAAATGATTAAATATGTTTATAAACAGTAAAAGTGGCATACAGATTATATAATTATGAAAATGTACAGCATAAAACCTCTCTGAAAATATTTTTTGTGTACGCGCCTGCCCAGGCTCGTACATTGAGTACATGTTGTACAACCAAATCAAATTAGTTAAAAAAAAACAAAAATTGTTGTCTCGTTAATTAAAAACGCTCACGCATTTTTTTTTTTTTTGAAAAGATATATTTTATATCGGTTACAGTTATACATTAATTTGCCATTATAATAATATATTATATGCGTACCACCCGAACGGCTGTTATTCGTACAACACGCGCATTAATTATCTCCCAGCAGTCAATGATTTATGGTACAATTTAGCATAATATATACAGCTATATAAATATATATATATATATATATATATCATACGTCCGATACCGTCAAGGGTTTAGAGGAACTTTGGCATTTGATGTGTATATAATAGTGTGCAATATATATTATGTGTTTACACCGCTGTGTTGTATGCGCACAGGTTCTGTTGTAAAACGCCGCGCCGGTATGACTTGCCAGCATCACGCGCCGATATACTGTGTACGTATCATACATAATGCGTACGCAATCGGTACAAGTACAGAATACAGGAATTCAACCGCACTCTGGTCTTTTTTATGGTTTGATTACATTTCTATTACTAAGATTTTGCTGTGCCCTTTTCGAGGGTTATTATGTCGTGGCAATAGGTATTAAATTCAGTTTTGTCTAACGGTAACACCATTTTTATTTCCCGCTAACGGTTGTTCGGTTGAAGTTTCTAGAATTTTTGACATCACATATGGACCGGTATTTTCAGAACTATTCGAACTGATTCAGACTGCATAAGAAAAGTATAAAATAATTAAAACATCGCGTTATTTTTAGCGTGTGAAACGAGCCCAACGAACCCATAAACGGTATTTATCAATATTATTTTGAAAATAATAGAATTAATAATGAATAAAATCAGCCAGTTTGCGATCCCATAAAATATAATATGTATTTATATTTAAAGTACACAGGTACATTATTAAACCAATGGTAAGGATAACTAATAGACCAGCATGATGAAATACGTTATAAATACAAATGCAGGTAACCGTAAAGGAACCAACAATTTTAATAAATCAACGGCATCGGGATTCTAAACTTATGAAAGATCTTAGTTCAACTAATTGAGTTTGAAAAAATATCAGCTCTTTTCCTCTCCCTCATTTTCCCGGAAAATCCTAGCTACGTCACACATCTATTTTTCCATATAGTTACGTATTACATCCAAGCCGTACCAATAGTTACGCGTTATGACATTGTACTTGCGTAATCTAGAAGCAATGACGACAAAAGAAAATTAGTTCACATATAAATCTTCCACAAATATTAATCTGAAATAAATGCACAGCTTAAACATAAAACCGCGTAGTTCTCAATGCGTTTCACGGTGTATAAACGAATGGTTCGTTCCGAAGAATCAAAATGCATAAGACTCTCATCCTAATACTCGTATATCGTACAGGAATCGTCTCAACATCGTCGAACATTTTTGTATTCCTAGTGCTCGTAAATAAAATAAATCAAAAAATGATTTGATTTAATCCTTTTTAAAAATTTCGAACACACGAAAATAGATTTTTTCTTAAAATCTGAAGTCATAAACAATCGTGCCACATAAAATAAACATCAACGCAATTTGCCAACAATGCCTCGTGGTATAGTGATTCAATAAATTATAGTACCAATATGTACACATAAAATATTATACGGGGATGATTGTTCGGAACTGAAATACAAAACGTTTATAAACAAACTAATACTGGAAGCGATAGTGTACGCGGTTGCTCATCGGCGTAGGTCTTAGGATTTCGATTGAACGAGAATGTAATATAATAACGTAGCTTGTAAACTTTCGTCCGCTAAGTATCGAACACATTTTTGTTGATACTTTTGTAACTAAAGTCGATTGCACCAAAATCCACTTGTAAAAATTAAAATAAATAAATAATCGTTTGGTAATCAAACTGTATGTATGGCGGTTAAATATCAATAGAATTGTTAAATAACGAGTGTTTCGACAGGAACGCAATTCCCTAGCAACCGAATGAGGATAAATGAGCATTTTGAATGTTAATAAACGTAAACCATACTCTATCGCACTAAGTCCCAAACGGAGAGAATAATTTATTACCAAATTATGCGTCCAACCGCAATTATAATATCTACTCAATTTATTTAACATTATTTAAAACACACCATCCGAATAAAATAACAGACAGGCAAATTAGTGAAGCTTTCGAAAACGGAAAGAAATGTCATACTTAGTGCCGAAAATGAAACATAATAATACAATAAACGTTTGCATAAATTAAACTGTGCGCCGTGAGTTTTTTAACATGCATTGGCTAAGTCTCGAATAATTTTCTACATTACATATTTTATGTCGTTTATTTATTTTTTTCTGGTTTCGTAGACTGGAATTTATTATTATTTTTTTTTCAATTTATTCCGACTAACTTTCAGCTCCCGCCTGTAAAACGTTTTCAAACTAAAATACGTTTCAGCTGTATTTACATTATAAGTTTTTTGATTTAACCCTCGAAGAGCAAATCTAGTTAATACTGCTGACAGGTAGAATAATTTTCTCAACAGCAATACGTGTATGAATATTCAGTAATACAATAAAATATACTTTATTTACAAACACAAAAAAACAGTTACCAATAATTTTAATTATATATAATAAAATCGTATACAAAATTTTTATTATGTAAAATATAATCATATACAAAAATTGTTATTATTTATAATATAATGTACAACATTTTTTGTTATATATAATGTAATCATGTACAAAATTGATATTATGGATAATATACTTATGTACATGCGAAAACATGTAAGGTTAATTCCAACGCTCTTCATTATTTGTACCGAAATACCTTACTAATATCCATCTCTAACTGCTCTATATTATTAAAAAAATAATCAATACCTAAAACATCAAGTAAAACATTTTTAGGTTTACAATTAGTTTTAAAATTATGCAAATCTAAACTTATTAATGAAACACCATCATATTCTATAATATTTTGTTCTATAATGGTAAATATTAGTTTTGTCCAATACACTAAATTCTCATCTCATGTGGTGTACTTAATTATACTTTTAGACTCCAAATGATTCTTCCATCGAGCATGACCAGAATCGCATTCTATATTAAATATTTTTTCGTATAGCCTTCTTAATAATATTTCTGCATCGTATGCCGAATACTCAGCTATTTTAGCTGTAAGCCATAATAATCTTATGAATTTATTTTCGAATATTGTGTTACACCTCGCTTTACCTACTAAATTATATTTTTTACAAAAATTCGCTTTCCTTGCTCTACAGGTGTTGCATAGGAATTACGATGTACAACATGCCGTTCTGAAGTATGGTTGACTATAAATTAGGAATTCCTGTGAACAAGAAGACCTGAATATAATTGTTAAATCACCCTCAAGAATAGTATACAGGATATCAGTAACTAAAAATAATTGATTATTAGTAATTTACAACTCATAATAATAATATACAATCATATTTATATATTTTTATTCCTTACATGTTTTGCTGTCCATTTTAAGATATCGAGAAAATGTATAATATAAAACGTTATAATTTTTGTTTAAAATACTAACGTAATAAATATTAAATATTAAAAATATGCCTTTGATATATATGTAATCATCCTATCGAGCTCTTCATACTGCGATATAACATGGGTGAGTTGATGGTGGGTTGGCTGTATCCATCCGATCAATCAAGATTGGATTGTCTTTGAGGTCTTTATAGAAATCTTCTGTCTCAATATAATATACCAATGAATCTGGAATAACAGCAAAAATATTAATATCATAAAATATAATATGTATAAGATTTCATACCTGTATCAGTGTACATCAGATGAATATCATTTTTGTAATGTGCCTGCATAACATTATAATGATAATCATACATTAGCGATTTTGAAACATCAAGTACTGCAAAGCCTGTAATTATAATTAAATTAGAATCTGTTGTTAAATAATAATAATAATAATATAGTATTTACCTATATAGATTGGCTTGTAAAAATCAATGATTTTATTCTCCAATGTTACAGCCGATAGATTCTGATTCTCAAAATCTGAGCAATACTTGAACGTTGTACGGTTTATTAGTTTCTGTAGCCTACTTTCACTAGATACTACTTCCATCTTTATTCGCTTCCTCATAGACTGCATTGTTTTCCCTAAATAATAATAATAATAATTGTTATTTTTAATTTTTATTTTCAATATATGAGGTTAGTGGTAGATATGACGATCCGCCCATAGGTATATACTGGTATATACCTAATAATACACCATCTATAGCCTCGAGTGAAAATCCGCTTCCTTTGCCCTGATATGTATCTTCCTCAGTTAAAATATTTACAAACATGTGGTCAACTATATCTCCGATATTCGTATCCGCGAAAATCGCTCTGGCAGAGGTCTTAAATGCCCTATTGACGGATGAGTTTTCGATATGTGGCCTGTTGTAAGTCGCTTCTAATTTCAGATTGAATTTTACTGGTAGAGCCGATGATTTTAAAATTTCGAGTAGTTCTTATTTGATTGAAATGAGGAACGCTAGATAATTGAAAATACTTCTAATGTTCTTTTTATAATACCAGTTGATGGTATTATTAAAAGATGATCCTATTCGTATAAAACCCGGTGTATTTCCGACAATGTTAAGACGAGCCCTTTTTTGAACTCCTACAGCCTCAGAGTTATTCGATCTTTTAAGTGAAGCAGGCCCTACGGAAAAAAATATGTCTTATAAAAAAAAAATCTAGCTAACTATCGGGTCATATTGAAAATAAAATCTTACCTGAATTATCGCATAAATATGCACTCTCCACACCGTCTGCTATGAAACTAAGCAATTCATCGTCATCAACCCATAATTCTTCGTCGATTGACGGTCTGGCTTGAACGTCTGGTACAACAATTTGCGGAGCAATTTCGATTTCGTTCCATGGAACTGCATGCTGTGGGGCTATTTCAGGACGATTTACTACCGGTTAGACACGTTCAATACCTTACGAAAATATTATAACACAATTAAAAAGAAATAAATATATTATATAAGTGTTGTTAAATACATACCATGTTTATTTTTCATATGTTTTGCAAGAGTATCGCGTCGGGTATATGTCATAGGACAAATACTACATATAAAACGGATACCGCTATAGATTTTAGCAGTGGCGTAGCCAAGGGGGGGGGGGGGGGGGGGGGGGGGGGGGGGGGCTATGGCCCCCCCCATGGGCCGTGTTTATATGTATAATGTAACTTGACTATTTAATAGAATCAATGGATGCTCGTTTTAATCAAAGGCTTATTGATGTTATGCCACTTGAAGGACTTATTCCGGCCAATTTAAATATGTATGACGATAAAAATATTATAAAAGCTACTGTGGGATTTAAGTAATAAAAATCACTCACAATTTGATTTAATTAAAATAGACACTATATTATAAAAATATGTATGTACAAATATCGAAACGCGTTACAATTGCGGAGGAATTCACGGTGAGTCGCGGATTGTATTCACGGACTGATTGAATGAGCGTCTGACCAGCCGATATATATATATCGGCGTCGATTGTCTAGAACCTTCTCCAAATTACCTTAACGAGATAATCATCGCATATTCTAGAACATGGGATTTCCCCTTATCCACTGACAATATTGTAAACAACCTGGACGATTCGCGATACGTTGTTTACGTCACTACACTGCTAAAATATATGTCCAAGATCTCCATGATGATACCTCATCTACAATCAGAGCTGACCTGTTCATATGGAGGCAACAATGGAGTCAAAATACTATTCCAAAACCGAATTCTGCTCTTGATTCACTCTCTCATCGCACCAATCTTCGACCTAACATTAAAATACTTTTACAATTATTCGCCACGTTACCAGTTACCTCTTTCACTCCGGAAAGAACGTTTTCAGCACTTAATCGCTTAAAATTTTTTTTAAGAAGCACCATGTCGGAAAACAGACTGAATAGGTTAGCTATGGCTAATATAAATAAAAAAGAGCAATTCGATGAAAGTGAAATAATAACTGAATTTGCCAGAAATTCGACTCAGAGGATGCAGCTGTCAAAGTGGAGCAAGTGACTGAACACTGAAACCAAAATTATTATTATTATTATTATTATAAATTATATATTAATAAATATTTTTAAAACTATACTAAAATTCTTGAATTACGTTTAGAAACTTGGTGGTAGATGGTGGGGGGGGTTAAGGGTGAATTCTCATATCCTCTCTTACCTTACTTATCCAAAAAAGTGGTTAGTCCCCCCCATTTAAAAATCCTGGCTACACCACTGTATGTATGTATGTATGTATTTATTTATGTATGTATGTATGTATGTCTGTATGTATGTATCATGTGTAATCATTTTAAATAATATATTATTTGTAAAGTCTTATATAATATTATTTTACTTCGGTAAAATACTTAGAGTGTGGTAAATGGGGGGGGGGATGATATTGTATATTAATGAATTTATCATTCAAATAATGAGGGGAAGTATAAGAATGTGTGTGATGAAGAATAAGACTTAACAATTTTCCAATTAAAAAATATGGAGGGAGTATATTATACATAGGTTACGTGAACGATCGAGCGGCGTGAAGAAAAATGAAAATGGAAAAAAAATAGAAAAAATAATTTCGTCGGCGGTGGTGACGGCGGTGGCGGCGGTAACGGTTTTAGAAGCCCCCTTTTCTATCTACTATCAAGTACGTCGTGTGTGTCATCTCCGCCTGTCATTCGGACCATTTTTCAACGCTGTGGTCCTATAATCATATATACATTTAATTTACAATATTTCATGTTTAAGTAATAATAACTTTAAAGATTCTAATGCACAGATAGTCCAGCCAGCTATATCGTAAACATTTCACTAAATAACTTTACTGTTGAACATTCGCTATTCTTAACGAATACCGAATAGTCACGTTACAATAGTTAATTTCAACTACCCATGACAAAAAAATGGCCTATATACTTATCAGATTTTAAATATTAAAATTAAAAACAAAGGTTACCACCGGTATACTTTCATTCTTTTAGAAGCTATATACCGGATACTTATATCGAAAGTACCGGAATGATAGACATTACCGAAAATACAATATTGTTTCAGTCCTGCCCAGGGGCATCATTTTAATATTTCCTAAGGTAGTGTATAATGACCAGCCAATAAGATTAAAATGTTAAATACTATAAAAAAAAACCCTTGTATCCAACTATAACTGAATACTGTTTCATAATTTATATTAAACAAACTACATCCACTTTTGTTAACATATTCTAATATACGAGTATATAGTCCTCACTCATATCAACATATAATAGATATAACCTTTGGTAAACTGCACGCTAAAAATTAAAATATTAAAATACCTATAATATCAATAATAGTTTCTAAATAAAATATACATCAGACATCATCATTTCACTAAATATAGGAAGTTGATTATTACCAACTAAAAATAATTTCATATGGGTAAGCATGATAGAAATGAGCAATTATATGCTACAGCAATCTTTATTTTTTGTAGTATATTATTGTACATTTAAATCAAACAAAAACGAATTCGTACGAATTCGGAATTCCAAATAAGCTTATTTTCCTAACAAAAGTATGCATGAATGGTACGAAATACCAAGTAAGAGTCGACAACGTACTAACCGAAGAATTTGAAGTGGTAACAGACAACAAGGTGACGCTCTTTCACCAGTACTGTTTAATATTGCACTAAAGAAAGTCGTACGGAGTATACAAAAGGATAACCATGGTATCGACATCGGAACAAACAAGATTGATATTTTAGGTTTTGCAGATGATTTGAACATAGTTGGTGACGATGGAGAGAGCGTGGTACAGAGCACCGTAGCCCTCATTAACGAAACAAAAACCATAGGGCTGAATGTAAATGATAATAAAACCAAAGTGATGGAGTTATTACCAAAAAATAACCAGGTCGAAAATGTGGTGATTTAAAGGCATAAATTTGAAAAAGTGCATAAATTTACATATCTGAGGGCCGCTATCAGTAGTATTAATGACGGGTCCATTGAATTAAATATTCGTATCATTAAGGCGGAAAAGGCATCCTTTTCGTTGACTAAATACTTAAAATCTAAACTGTTTTCTAGAAGAATCAAAGTACATCTCTATACAGCGATAATTAGACCGACGCTAACATATGGATGCGAGGTGTGGCCTTTGATAAGCAAAATGGAACAAAATCCATGTCGTTCGAATACAAAATACTGAGAATCATCTGCGACTCAGTATACGAAAATGACCTCGGGTGTTGGCGTAGAAAGAACAAAGAGACCCGAGAGTTGACAGGAATACTAAGGATAACCAACTTTGTAAAGGCCCAAAGAATACCATAGTTTGGGCACGTGATGAGAAGGTCTAACTCAGAGTACCTTAAAGCGGCTGAATGGAAACCCACAGAAAAAAGGCCAAGAGGACGTCCAAAGAAGCGATTGATAGATGGAGTATGACAGGACATGGAGAAACTGGAAATACTAAATTGGGAAAAAATACAAAATCGAGAGGAGTGGAAGGCGGTGTCGGTGGCAGCAAAAACTTTTGAAGAGTTGTAATGTCAATGGTGATGATGATGATGAATTGATAACGGAGATTATTCATGTTTGCTAAAAAGTCGAGTGCTTTAGTTGAATAAAGTATTAATGTTTTATAACTTTATACAGCAATAACCAATAAATCATTTAGATCAGTGGTTCCCAACCGGTGTGCCACGAACGCCCTTTAAATGTGCCGCCATAAATTTATAAATTGTTTTATAAGTATGTATTTCGAGATGAAAACTGATCGAACTAATTGTAGATACATATAATATTATTTATTGTAAGTATGCCCGTCGCAGCCGTCTCGATCGATCGATTGTATTAATATATTTCACAATAAATAACCCTCTAATAGAGTAGACTCTAAATAGTATATATATATATATAAAATATGGTTCACATAATATATAAATTGGTGTACTGTGAAAATTTTGTTGGAAATGAAGTATGCCGCATTGTTAAAAAGGTTGAAAACCACTGATTTAGATGATCATCGCCTTTAGTTAGTTTTAAGTATGATTTTATTCATTTAAGAGATTAAAAAGAACGTTCACTAGACTCCGTGGAAGCGGGTATGATCATAAGGATGGTGATTATTTTTAATGTTTCAGAGCAACTTTTAGGAAATTGGAGTAACTTTTTTGAAATCAAATAAAGATCATAAGTACGATTATCATTGTCATTATTTAAAATAGCTGAAAACCATTCTTTAGCACCAAAAAATTCAACTTTCAGTTTGATTGTATTAATATTAAAGTGCTTATAATATTGTATAAAGCTATCAAGAAATAGGCAATTGTAATTAAAATATTCAGAACTGGTCAGAAAATTTTACTAGTTAAAATTATATTATTATTTACATCACTAAAGCGTATATCTAGTTCATTAACAAAAAAAAATAATAATAATAATAACAATATATTATTCATATAAGTAATTTCCAAATTTGAAGATTTAGACATTTTATACAAACTTGTTAACTATTGAAAAAAATATTTTTAAAACTGCTCTATTCTGAATATTATATCTTAAAACTTTAACCGATTGTTGTCCCCACGATACTTGGACGGTAAAGAAAAATGTTATGTAGAAACGTTCCTTCCCATAATCGACACCCTAAATACACATTTAAATCAAAGATCGGAATCGTACATAGAAATTAATGAACGCTTTAGTTTCTTAACTCAGTTACAAAAAATCGAACCTGATCATTTGAAAAAAAAATGCAAAGAATCTGCAGATTTCTATTGTGAAGACATAAACACCAATGAGTTAAATTCAAAATGTTTTCATTTAAGGGAATATTTGAAAACCTTTAAAAATGAATCCGTGGACTTCAGTATCTTAGCTATACATGCTTTAATTTAATAAAAGCAGACAAATTAGCAGAAACATTCTCAAACGTGGAAATTAAGTTGCCACAAGGATTTTCCTTTGCCTCATGATCACCAATTGCAGTGGGGAGCGCTCATTTTCACAACTGAAAAAAATAAAAAACGAATTACGAACAACTATGTTGCAAGAACGGCTCACCAATTTTTCAATAATATGCATAGAAAGTGATCTCCTTCAAAAACTAGACTACGAAGATATAATTGAAGATTTTGCACAACAGAAATCACGAAAACAACCGTTGCTTACTTAACGATACACATAAACTATAAGTTTCATTATTGAAAGTTATAATAGTAAAATACCATTCATAATTTTGTAAAATGTACATAGTTTTTAATTAATAAAGTAATCATATTAAATAAACTTTTGATGTTTTTATTCAACTTGTGTAGGCCTACTAAAAAGGCCCCTTAAGCTCCGGGTGCCCATGGGCCCCTGCAAAGCTTAAGACGGCTCTGATTACAACTGACCTTTTTTATTACTTGAAATTTCCGGGCCGAGTTTACGATTTACCTACTTTATTACCTATAACTTTCGGGATCAAATTTACAACAGAAAAGGTAATCGCGGGCCCAGTTTACATTTGCCCATTTTATCAGGTAAAAAGGGATCGGGGCGCAATAGTGTTGTAGCCGCGATTATCCCCTATTAATCGAAACCCAACTCGGATGCTCCAGAATATATATATAGTCATAAAAAATTTGCTGAAATTATTTTTTTAACTAATCGCAGAATTATAATAACCAATTTTAAATTAAGCATAAATATTTGGATGACCTGTATAAAACATAAGATTAAAATGAGAATGAAACAACGGAATTTGTGGATCTCATGAAATTCTGACCAAATATCGAATGAAAGAAGACATCATTTTGTGTTTTCTTGGATGGGTAATTGAGAACCAATATATTTCATACAAGAAAATACAAAAATAATAATAGCTAAAATAGCTAAGAATGGGTTATGAGAATTTTTAATATTTTTTATTTGAATTGTATATTTACTTAAAATACTTTGTTACTTAAAATAATCCCGGACCCAAATAGCGTAGTACCTACCTACCTGAAAAAATCTCGAACCCAACTAGTGCAGTACCTGCGATTAGTTCTTAATACTTGGGATCTAACTAGGATGCATTGATTTTAAAACAAGGTATGTTAAATATCAAAGGAGGCATTGCCCCTCCTATTTATTCTAAGGAGCAATGGCCCTCTATCCTCTGTTTACCCCTATATCTTGTTCCAAGTTGTTTTTTTTATATGAGGTAAAGGAGTAGGTTATATATTACATCGTACAAAAAATTGGTTGTTCACATGCTTTATATAAAATATATTTATAAGGTCCTGCAATTATACAACAGGTAATCATAGTTTGAATTGATAAGAAACGATTCAAGATGTTGCAAGTACAGGTTAATATTTAAATATTAATGATTTCTTTTGACATTACTTAAGTCAAATCAGTGTCCAATTTCTAATGTTCCAAGATGCCCATTCTAAGTCAACGAGTGCAGGTTTACTTGCATTGTTGTAAAATCAGTAAATTTGTAATTTCAATCAAAGTCCTAAATGTGGGATGGATTTAAAATATTGATGAAAATTTTTTATTGTCTTAATAGATGTATTTTAATTCATCTATTTATATTTGTAAAGTACAATAAATAACAAGAGAAAGGTTAATTACCTAAATAATCAATAATACAGAACAAAAAATAAAAACATGTTTTGTATTATATTATATAGTCACAATGTCAATACTTACTAATTCAACATTTTAAATTATTCTCATTCCATCAAAACTTCTTACATTTTCAAATAAATCAATACAATAAGTTTTTCATTCAAATCCTGCATAGCTTTTTTTCTGTATAAATATTTTAAACTCTGAGAGCAGAATATCAAAGAAAAATATTCCATAATATCAAATGTTTATCAATAACAAAATAAAATAAAAAAATACATTTTAATAATTCATATGCTATTTACGTAAACAATTTTTAAAGAATTATCCAAATGTAAAAGGAGAAAGAAATATTTATACAATAATTATGTTTATATATAGATAATAATATGTTAATTATATGTTAATTCAATGCAGCCTTTTATTTGGGCGTGAATAATAAAAATATAACTAATCTTTGGTTTGGTTCATATAAAATACTTATTAAATAATTGCCAAACTTATCCTAATAAGGACAAATGTAAGCTTAAGTAGATAGAATCACTTATCCAGTAAAAAATATAATACTCTTTTCTCAATATGTTACTTAATTATGATAAAAGAATGTAAATTGTCACGTCCATTAGGGAATAGTTATTGGTTATAATTAATTTTTTAATTATGTCTTATGCAGGATCACCCCTTCTATTGGCATCCTCTTCTCGTGCTATAGCAACCATACGTAACATAAGCACAGAGAGTACTTTATCCAATGGATCCATGAACCCTCTTTGCATCCATTTTGGTATAGTTGTTCGAGCATGTGAAAAACCAAGCTTTTGTAATATATAATCTACGCCATAAGGCTCAATACTTTTTCCTCCCCATGATAATAATCTAAAATAAATTAAAATAAGTAAGACTTTTCTAAAATCTATAAATAAACTTTTTGCTATTCTATTACCGAACAGTTGGTTCTAAATGCCAAGTAGTACAATTATAATCCCTCCAATCATTAGTAAATGATTGATGAGTTTCCATGGTAGGTAAGCTTGAGTTACCACTATTAGATGTATCTGGACTTTGTGGTCGATTAGCCATAGAAGACTAAAATAAAAAAAGAAATTAGTTAGTGGAATACGATAAAATTGTAATATGTACTGCCACTTACTACTTTATCTTTTTCCAAAATATAAGATGTAATGAGATCATGCAGAAAGAAAAAAGCTTCCGCATCTACAGTAACGAAAATATGGTCTTCAAACTCTGTGATAAAACTACACTCGATAGTAGGTTTAATATCACATGGTGAGGGTAACTTAACGGGTTGGGTATGGTCAGTCTTGAGATTTAACTGTAAAGTAGGTAATGCAAATATGACTTCTCGTGTATGCGTAAGATTTTCTTGTGGCTTAGGTGTACGTGAACGTGGTGCTAACTCAGTTGTATCTTGTTTCTCGCGATCCAAAGTCGGAAAACGGTCCACTTCTACACATTTTATAGAAAATACTTAATGAAACACAAAGTAAATAAGCATAACCAAAATATTATTACCATCTATTTCACTCATTGCAAATGCATAGTTAAACCATTCTTGGATAGTTTTGAACTGAGGTGGAAACAAAACATTACGGCTAAATTTACACACAGTTGCCATACTGTGTTGAGGTCTAACAGTACCTTCCATACCCAAGCCAAAGGTAAGATTTTGTACAATATGAATATCCAAGTCATCTCTACATAATGGTCCAGAATCTAAGTATAAAAAATTGTAAGTTTCATTCATATTAAATAAAAATTCTTATAAAGTACTATGTTTGAAAGCTATTACCTCCAAAATTAAATATTTCATGTGCTTCGGTAGCAAATGATATACATGGTTCTTTTAAAGAAAACAGTGCCCAGGACTTAGATTTAAAATTAATACCATGGAAGCATGCTAAAGATATATTGACACCATGTAAATCCATTTTTCCTCCTAAAACAGTACCCCAATGCGGCAAAGGATATTTTAATGTGGATAATCGTAGTCCAGACACAGCTTCTAATGCTCGTTGCCAATGCCGATGATGGTGTTTACATTCATCTGGACTCAGATCTAAAAATAAAAATGTTAAATTTAAATTCATTTTATAGTAAGTAATACATACTTTCTGGACTAGAGGTTGATGTTAATATGCGTCTTCTAACTGCTTTCTTTTTAGAACTTTTTTCATTACTAATAGATTCTCTAGGATCTTGAAGACTTGAGAAAACTCTTTTACTAGATTTAAACTGCTGGGAAAAGAATTCTTCCAGCTTATAATACATTTTCATAATATCTGAAGATGTGCTTTTAGAAATCATCAATTGCAATTGGTCCCAACCAAGGTCACCATGCATAAACACAATTCCTGGTCTTTTACTAGAGTCATGTGCACTATCAGTAGGCATGGCCTTGCTCAGAACTTTCCATTCATCTTTTAAAACTACTTCAAGGGAGCTTACTCGAGACATTAGAACTGCTGTACCCATATAATCTAAACGTAGTTCAAGGGCTGATAATTTTAAACCACCAGTATGACGAGGTTCTGATCCTGGATCTTCTCTGATCAACACTATAAACAAAATAATTAAAAATAAGATCAAAAAAAAAAAATTGTTTATACCAATCATACCATAAGTGTTGATTTTATTTAATTCAATTGTGCCACCCACAATACCACCTTTGGCATCTAGTCCAGAACCACCAAGACCTAATCCAATATGCATATTCTTATGACCGGTACTACCAATGGATAATCGACCTTCAGAATGAAATTGTTTGGACAACCAACTACACAAAAATAACAATCAGAAGAACAAAATATAAATTGTTTATGAACAATTAAATATACTTACGTAACATTACCCATTACATTTCCCATATTCATATGTACATTAAGTCTCTTAAAATTCACAGCAAATATTACTAGTGTTTCCCAAGCTGCTGCGCCAACACTACTTGATTTTTGGTCAGGACTTGAATCATGACTTGAATTCATTTTTTTCTTTTCAAAAGGTAGCTGTTTATCACCTTTAATATTTAAATAAAGTTTATCACGGCTAGGTTTTGCCTTAGCATCAGAAGCAACATTTCCATATCTACAATAAAATATTAATAGTAATAATAATAAAAATTAAATAGATATTTAATATTAATAACTAACGAATCTTCAGGTTCCATGCTATTACTATGGTCACTATACACGCTGCTTGGAACAGTTCTGGTAAGATCCCCTAAGAATAGTCTGCGCACAATGCTACGTCTATACCAAGCGCGAGGAAAAGCTAAAATTTCAGTCAAACGTCTCATATCATACTTGAATGAAGCTGATCCAATATCCACAATGGCTAAAAAGAAAAAACAATAATTAAAAAATAAAAGCACCAGATAATATTTAAATACTTACTAGAGAATCGAATAGTAGCATGACTTTGATCAGATGTAGTCTTAGGTCCAGGTACAGATTCAAAATTAAGCTTACGACTCCTTGATAAATGAAATTTAATAAACTCAACATTAACACTTAAAGAATCTTTACGTTCACCATCAGCTAATGGTGACCATGCATGAGTATGAGACTCTTTAAGATTGGCTGCTATTAAATTAAAAAATTAAATAATTATATATTTTTTTTAATAAATCTAAAATATTTATTTACATGATTTCTTCCCTCCATATGGATGAAAAATATACATTGAAAAATCTGCCATCACTCCAGTGATACTTAAACCTCCAACTGCAACTGGCAAACTATTGGAGTCTTCGTAATAATCTTCAAGTCTAATATCAAGACATAATATAAATATTTTTATTTATTTTTTTTTTTTTTTAATAAGAATTATTTAGTTACTCATTAGAAGAATCAGTTCTTTTAGAAGAAAACACAATATCCAATGATGGCAGTTTTAACATACATTCGACTCGAGATACAGGTAAACAAGAAAATCTAAATGTTGATGTTTGAACATGAAGATACACAATTACATCAACAGGGAATGAAGTATAAGCATATTGTCCAGGTGTCAAATACGGTGCAAATAAATCATCATCATTATCTGTAGCAAACATAGTGTCAAATGTACCTAAAATAAAATTGAATATAATGAAATTTTTATTCAAACACCACATTATACAATAGATGCACGGATTAAAATATAAAAATACCGGTATCAACAAATTGTTGTGCAGGTATTGGTGCCAAAGTCTGTTCAAGAAACTCAAGTATGTGTGGAGATATAATAGTTTCTTCTGGTATGCTTTGGAGTGTAGCCCAACAGTAAAGACTAGCTTTTTTTGTACTTGTTTTCCTACTAATTACCCCACTTGAGTCTATTGAGTACATAAGAGACTGGCCTTCATCAGAGACCATTTTTGACTCATAATGCACTTTAAAATCCAGACCAGGAATATGAAATATTGTTAGTTCTGATAGTTGAGATAGAGTATTTGTGACTGTCTGGTGGTGTCTTAATCGAGAGCTTGATGTACTATTTGCACCTAATTTATCTTTATAAGAACGTCTAGGTAAATTTGGACTACCTGGTACATATTCAAATACACCACCAGAACAACTACGTTCTTTTTTCATTCTTGACATCCTAAAATGTAGATTACAATAAATATCACATAATTTCTAGAAACTTAATAATAGTACTTACAATTTAATTTCATCTTCTTTAACAGAATCCTTTGTATGTAATACACATTTTCCACTATTAATAAAAACTTTTACATCAAGTTCAAAATCAATATTAGGTTCTTGTGGTTTTTGAGTAGCACCAGTTAAGAAAAGTGGGTTAACTAAGAAGTCATCCCTATTAAAAAACAATAGTATTCAACTATAAAAATAAAATGCAATAATTTTAAGATTAAATTTACCTAGAATCCATTTGCCTGCCATAATCTGTATTTGGCCAACTATCATCACCTTCTGTAGTTAAACTCTGTTCAGAACTAGCACTAGGTAATGAACTTTGCCGGAATATTTCTTTAGTATTACTGAATGTTACATGACCAGGATGTGTTACCTTAAATGATGTTGAACGTTGTGGTCCTGCTTGAGGAGAATTTTCTACACTACTTAAGCTAGTCACTTCATCAGGACTAAAATAAATATTTTCTACATTATAAAAACTAGTTTATATAACATTTTTAAATTTTATTTTTTTTTACCTCTGAGTTTCTTTGAATTCTGCTACCTCTTGGGTAGGAGAAACAATAAATGACTTTGACCTATACGTAGAACTTTTGTTGCTAAGTCCAAATTTGCCTTTTAAAGTCGATTTACCTTTAACACTTTGTCTTCTTAATTTCTGAATCATATCCCTGGAAATGTATTTATTTAATATCAAATAGTTGACAATAATTACTAACCAATCTAACCTTCTAAACCCTTTGAAGACCATTGCTTCCAGTTCACGTAATCGTTTTACTTCATGTTCAATGGTTCCTTGAGATGCTCCCAAGGAACGCAGATCATTTATGGCTTTGGCTTGTTCATACATTTCTTTTTCAATAATTTTCGACCGAGTCTTAGCATTCATAGTGGGATCAATAGCTAAAGACGATAATATATCACCCTCCATATTTGATTTGTGTCTAATTATATCACTATCTTGTGATATAGGATCACTGTCTGATAATGGATCATCAGCATCTTGTACCCCGGTCAAAGCAGTTAACGTATGTCCCAATGCACTAAGTTGTTTACCTATATTTACATCTAAATGCATGTCAACACCTTCCATTTGCCACTTCACATTTAAGAACCATTTCGCATTTTCTATAAAATTACATAGAAACATTATATGTTAAATAATGAAAAATTAAAAAAACATTAAACTATTTATAAATTTATACCTGTAACAGAATCTAACTTTTGAGAAGTTGTACGGCTACATACTTCATATGTTCCTTCTGACACAATGCATAAATTCATGGCAGTTGACACAAGTTCATTGGTTATATCAGGTTTCCAATCATCCAGAGATGAATCAAAATCATCAGCAAATCTCAAACATAATCCAATAAAACGACCCTTACTGACCAAGGATCCAGAACTACAGGCTGATATACTAGTTGATTCTAACGTAACAACTACAGCAGAGCATGACTCAAAGTCCATAAAAATTGATCGATTTAAACCCCATGTAGTCTTAAAAATAAATAAACTGTCAAAAAAAAATTTTTAAAATATATTAATATAAATAATTACTCACTTGGGGGAGAGGATTCAATGGCACACAAATTCCCATATCCTCCACAGTCAATTGTAAGAAAATAGTTCCCAGATTTGGAGACACCGATATTTTATCAGCTGGCGATTTTTCTGATGAAGGTTGAGTTGCTGTTAATACTTCTTTATTTAAACTTGCCCTTTGTTCATTCCAATATTCATAAGCATTTTTATAATTCAACCATACAAGTATTGCCTTATCCACAGCCATAGGTTGTATATAAATTAAAGGTCTCCGCAAAGTGATAAGTATTACTTCTTTGTCTTCTCCTTCACCTACCATTTCTCCTTGGAAAGCATTTCGTAACTCTAGAAATTAAAGAAAATGTCCCATAAAATTCTAAATAAATCATAAACTAAGAAAAACTTACCTATTCTAGTTTTGAAGAAAGCAAAACTTTGAAATTCAGGATCAGCTTCTTCAAATAATGGATTTCGAATAACCTGGCCAAGAGATAGGTTTACATCAATATGGGCTTTGACAAAAATTTTAACTTGTTCAGATGTCTGATATGATGAGCCAGATACATTCTGAACTCGATTTGATAGTTGAAAATCTGCTGAACCTGTTTCCAAACGAACAGCACAATTTGTTGGTGTTGTTGCAGTAAGTTCTATACGCTATAATAATAAAAATATAATATTAAATTAATTAGATTTTTAGCTGAACATATTTTGAAAAAAAGTACCCTCATTTTGACTGTCAATGAAAATAGAATCCTCTTTACAGGAGCAGAACGATTAGTATCATTGTCTTCTAACCATAAAGGAACAGGTTTTTCTCCTCCATAAACTTTTTGAACTACTTCATTAACTTCCTAATTAAGTAATATTTTAAACTATAAATATTCAACTAAATCATGGAATAACTTATAATTTACTTTCATAAAAACTTTTTGAACAAAAACTAAATGATTTAACAAATCTGTTGTAAGTGACTGTTCAAATACTCCAATATCAGCCACAGCACTTAAATAATTTCCTTGGCGTAAAACAGCACCATCTAAACAATTCACCAAACACCAATAAATAAATAATTTGGTATTTGCAAATAATCAAGAATATTGAACATTTTACCTGTTCCAGAAAACTGATTCTCTCCTGTTTTTAAACCGCCATCTAGTATGTATTCAGCTGATACATGAACTTTAGGAAGTTCTAAGCTTGCTTCTGATGGTAAATTTGTCTCGGTTACCTAATTATTTTAATATATTACAAGTAAATAATAAGTAAACATTAATTTAAAATCAAACCGGAATTTTAGTTGAAAATGACAAAGTATGTTGAGGCAAATCAATAATGAACTTTGCTTTATTTCCAGTATATCCAGTGCTGGTTACTTGATCCATTTTATATTGAGCTCGTAAAGAAGGCAACAAGGCAGCAGTGACAGTTAAACACTAAAAAAATTATATATATTTATAATTAATATTTATTTAGATGTTATTGATAATATTAATAACTTAATATTACTTGAATAACAGCAGTAAAATGCATGACCAATGGCTGAAGCAAGACATTGTGTTCTGAGACAGGCGGCTTAATCACTCCTTCCTTATATACTCTTTGTACCATTGGACTTTGTTGAGTGGCCATACTGGATGGACCAACAGATCCTTGTACATCACTTTCATCAATTGTAGGAACACGGCCCATTCGACTAGATGTCCGAGCCACTCTAAGCTCCTAAACAAAAATTTAAATAAATAATAATAAATAACAATTGGTTTAGTATTAACTAAGAATATTAACTTGTAAAGTGGACGATAGCTGCTTGCTTCCTCTAGTCATCATCCCATGAAGAGCAACAGGATGTTGAGGAATATCAATATTGACAACACCAATGGTTAGCAAACCAGAATTTTGATCTTTTGCTCGACGACTCATACTTGAATATAAAGTCTGTGATTTACCTACAGTTATCTTAACAACCGTCTGTTGATTGGGTGCAACACCTTCTAAGAGAACTATCATAGTACGACCTATATGTCCAGTCAAAGAACATTCTAAGCTTGGAGGTCGTGTTTTCTTACGAAAAGTTGAACTAGTATGTAAATTAGTAATTTCTGCTTCTAATTTTAAACCACTTAACGTCGCTAATAATTTAGTTCGATGAATTCGAACTACTACAAATACCATAAGTCTAGTACGTTCTTCTTTTGATATTCCTAAAATAATTTATTTTTATTTTTTTATTACGATAATACAAAAATTAAAAACATTTTAATCAAATAAAAATATTTAAGCAATTTACTTAGGTTTGGTTGTGAAATTGGTGGTACTGGAGTACTTGTAGATCCATCTTTATCAATATCATCACAGGACTTAGCTTCTGATAATATATCATATTTTCTAGTACCCTTATATCCTTCTGATACATCTACACCAAGTGATATCCTCTGAGTTACTGTTTTTGTTTCTGGCATCGTAGCATATAACTCTAATAAATGGTAAACAGTCTTCCAACATCTAGGAGTCATTAAAACAATATTTGAATCTACTTCATCGATGGGCTTCATTGGTGTGATACGTTCAAATTCTGATAAGCTTGGAGTCAAACATTCATTGACCACTGGAGTTTCATTTAAATTCATGTAACCTTTTACACTTTTACCAGTGGATCTTAATTTTTGTGCTAGTGTTTGATGTTTTGAACGTATCGATGGGGAAGGTGATACAATAGGTTTTAGTTCACTAGCTGAACGAGGTATGAATCGTTTGATTGGCGGTGGAGTAGGTACTGGTACTTCTGATTGGTCTAAAATTGTCATGTTTTAAATATAATTGAAATAAAGTAAAATTATATTAACTTGCCTGATTGAGATGTTGGTGGTTTGGCATTATTGCGTGAAACATATTGATGAGGCTGTTGTTCACGTAGTTCAGTTTGTGTATCTTTTACATTTTGATACATATTGGTTATTTGATTAAGAAGTCTTAATAGTGGCATATTAACCTGCAAAATTGTTGACATAATAATTACCGTATTATTTGTTCATTTAAATTTTCCAATAGAAACATTAAAGCTAGTATTAATAATCTTTGGTAGCAATACTAAATTCAATTTTATAATGTTTTACTACATCTAATACACAATTTGTAAGTGATTTTACCTGCTGAGATATATATCTAACAGAAACACAAATGTTAAACGATGTGTTTGAATGTTTCTTTAACTGACCTCGAGACAAATATAACATATTACGTCTCTGTCTACGAATATCATCAACAACTGTCATATCCGCAGAACGTCGTACATCACATTCAATATTAACACGATCACATAAAAACGCTGGAACTTCAGGTAATAAATCTAACCATGGAGTTTCTGAAATTAAAAACAAATGTATTATTGTCATCATTTAGATCCAATAAATATTTTATGTATTATACCATACCTGGTTTATTTTTATTTTTAAATGATTTTGATTTCTTCCCAGTTTCTGGAAGTTTCCCATGCTCACTAACAACAATGTCAATACGCATTGTTTCAAGACTACCTACAAGTGATAAATTGGACCCCCAAGAATCAAGAGCTGCAATACCATTGTTTCCTGAGTATCAAAGTAAAATACTGTATTATTATATTTTAAAATTATAATACATATAGTATACATTTTAATTAATTTTATTTTTAAGAATCAACTTAGTTTTGCTTTAAACTTTTTACTATAATACTTAACTCCTAAGTAAATAATTATGAACCTTATAAATTAAATAAATCTATAGTATAAATGATAAATGTATGTAAACCTATGAAAAAATTGTTAAAACATCAATTTAAACAATACTATTTTTTTTTTTAGATATACTGAACATGAATTTTTATTTTCAAATATAAGTATGTATGAACATAATATAAAATAATTACCTGAATTAGGGTTAACCATTTGTTGAGGCATAACACCAAGACTAGACAGTAATGGTTCAAAAATAAGGTGAGCATCCAAAAGTCGCAATGAATCGTACTTTGGAAATATATTAAATCTTACTGAATCTGATTCAGCAATATCCGCTGATGATTGATTAACAGATGAATTTGGTGCATTCTTTGAGTCAGAGACACGCAATGGTCCTTTACGTAATCGCTAAATTATTAAAAATAAAAATAAATATTTTTTCAGAGTTAAATTAATTACACAATTATAATATATACTCACCCAAGTTCTTAATTTTTTGGTTTTGACCAACCTATTGGGTACTCGAGGTTCAGGATTGATGAAATCTTGTTTTGCCATCCAAGTATAAAGATCTTCATTTCTGTCTGATTTTTGAGGAGATAAATTTATACCTTCCACACTGCAAGTTGAATTTTCCCCCTCGACTGGAACTTGATAGCTATTGTCACCCAGTGGAACATCAACAATGTTCTTGTATGTGTGCTGTACTGTATCATCCAATATTGGAAACATAACACTAGCTCTAGAAGAAGCTGGCATTTGTGTAGGCAATAGAGATTTATTGTTTTTATGTTGATCACAGGATGAATTATGTGAACTCATTGCAACACTGTCATTTGGCTGATCTGTTATACCAGACGGAGAAAATGGATCATAATAATGAGACTCGTTACCGTAATTCCCTTTTGTCCCTATTTTAAATAATGAATTACAATTATGGAATTTTTAAAATTACTTTAAAATATATTCAAATCTATAACAAAAATATATGCAAGCGATAGAAAAAAAACATTTAAGTATGACTTTTTTAACATTTTCAATAAGTAAAATGCATTCAAAATATAATAAATAATAATTAAAATAACTAAATAAAAGACATATTTTTTTCAAAAAGCAAACATACTTCAAGACATGTTATAAGACACACACAATTTCAAAACAGTTTTATAAGCAAAAAATGTTATTATTTAAATATATATAATATATATATACATAAATTAGCTTCACTCAACTAAACTTTACACACACAAAATGTAGGTTAGTACCAATATTAATAACTAATATTAATAAACATTAGCATTCAATTTTAATGATACATTTTAAATTTATATAAGTAAAATACAATTTACTATAATAATAAGCATGCATTATACATTATAATAGTAAAAATAAGGATAGTTATGAATAAAAGCACCATGCAGAAATAGATAAACTATTTTGTTTTGAATAATTGAACTAATTTGTTAACATTTACATGTCATACCACATTTGCTCGTGTGTGATTTGAGTACCCGTTGTAACGTAGACACGTGCGAATGACGTTCGCTGGTCAGCAGCATAGCACACTCATCGGTTATTCCTTCTCCGCCTTCTTCCCCAGAAGCCTCCCCATCCTTTAGCATATGACCAAAAAATACATATTTACAAATGGTACCCGGGCAAATGATTACAAATAAATGTAATTATTTCCAGATTATATATATATTTATATTTATATATTTATATAGTACATATCATATAAATGCACATTACTAATATTAGTGATCCATTAAGCACCCATAATAACACTAAAAATGACAATGAATACATTTATTATACAATGAAACTTGATGACCCATATGAAAGCATTACACCAAATGTTTTAAAGTTAGAAAAATCAATGATATGCGCAAATAATTGGATATTATTGTTTTGCTTACATATAATTAAATCGGGGTTGTATGATGTATTTGCACTTCGACGTGGATTTATATAGCCACGGTCATAAAACACCTGTTTTGGAAAATGATACTAATTTTGTTTAAATTAAATAATAAAAATATCCCGAATATCCATGTCGAACTTTTTTATCATTTTTATTATTAATTTCTAAATCAAATTAAATTTATATCATACCTCTTCAGCATCTGAAACTGCAAAAGTTACGTTCAATGGTTTTAAATTATGATGTCTACTCTTGAAGTTGTGTTCAAGTAATAATGGAGTATACAAAATGTTTTTCCACTGGCGACTTAAAACAATAACACCCTATGTAACAATAATAAATCATCAAAATTAATCTTCTTTGAATTTTTCAAAATTTGTATGTATAAAACACTTACTTGTCTTAAAATTGATAAATTAGGTAAAAATGGATCTTTTAAATTAGCATCAATGGCTACATCACTCTGAAGAAGATATTTTTGCAATATATTACATAATTGACAGGAAGGATCTTCTTGTAAAGTTTTGGCCAAAGGTGTAGTATGCCTATATCGACTCTAACAAAAAAAAATGAAGAAACAGTTTCAATATTATGAGTAAAACAATTATGATATCAAAATAGTTTAACATAGAAATATAAACCTTGTATACAACACACAAAAGATATACTAAATTATATTTACCTTTAAAGGTATATGAAGACTTTGTACATCTAATGTTTCAGCCATTAAACAAGTTACAACTGCTGTACATCGTCTGTATCTAGTACGTAGCATGTGCACAAGACGCATAGCCAAACGATTACTAGGATTCATCCATGCATTAATAGCTGGTGATGCTGTACTAAGTAAATTCCAGTCGTGTCTACACATATAACATAATTAAATACGTATTTTATAAGTTATAAATTATAACTAATATACATTTATAACTATACCTTGTATAGTCTATTTTACGAGTGATTGGTGTTAATGGAGGTGCAGCAAAATTAAACCAAACTTGACATACTTCCATAACACAAGATGATGCGTTTTTATCAATTCCTACTTTTACCACAGTGCCCTCACTATAAAATAAAGATAATACATTTCAACATAAATTCAATAAAACAAAAAATAAAATAAAAAATATCATACATTGTATCTTCATTATTAACATTGGTTTCAGAAGGAGTTTTAACTTGTTTAGGTGTAGCCATTGGTGTTGAATTACCACCAATATCTTGTTTGCTAGAAGCTAAAAATAATATAAATTAAACATAAATGTTGTGAACAATTATAACTTTCATTCTTTTTCTTATACTTTAAGCAAAATTCTAACTTTACATTGCTAAATTACTAAAATAAACTAAACAGCATTGATCTAATTTCAGATACAGAATTTTCAGTTTTGTAATAGAATAGTTTTTGATAGTAAAATAAGACATTAAAAATGTAAAAAAAATTTTAAATTAACAATAATTTTTAATTATTATTATTAAATATTTACTGATAATCATCCAATATGTTAAAAATCATAACACTAACCATTTGCTTTTGATTCAGGGTTGTCGTCCATTTTAGTACGAATTTCAGAATGTGAGACTTTTCCAGCTGTAGATTCAGGTACTGGAGAAGGTGATGGTACATCTCTAATTTCTCTATCATTCTCTTTTTCAAAGTTTGATCTTTTAACAACCTTGTGAAAAAATTAATACAGTTGAAATAAACATGAAGTGTTTGATTTATTACACAAAAACTAACTTTAAAAGAAATTCCTTCAAAACCACATTCCATCATAATAAAACCCATTTTTTCATCTGAAATATTGGTTAGTAATATTTCATCATTATCGCTATTCCCATTGTTCTGAACCTCTATAGATTTTACTTGAGAACAAGTTTTAAACATAACTTTTGAACAATGGCTAGGTATAGCTGTTATGACTGCATCCTTCAATATTGAACACTCATTATGCAATCTACGTAATTGAGCATGAGCTCTATCTAAAAAGGAATTACAACATTAAATGGTGACATAGCTTACGGTTAAATATGTTAACTTTACGAAATCTAATAATACACATAAAACATATACTAAAATTATGTTATTAAGCATTACCACCCTATGAAATAGCAAAATATACAAAACTAAATTTACTAGTTAAAAGTATTTTATGTAAAGGAATAGATAACACAAGATGATTATTTAATCAATTAAATAATTATTTTAATATTAAAAAAAAAATCAATATTTACTTATGTGTAATGTGATAACAGTTTCTTCCTGTTGTTTTTCAGATGTCTCAATATATACTGGTTCACCGTGAGTACTTTCAGGGTCAACTTCTGATGTAATATTTAATCCAAGTAAAAAAGCTTTACCAGCTGCTCTACTCAAAACCCCTTTTTTCTGACCACTAGGTGCTACAGCTGGAGGATGATATGTTTGTACAATTTCTCTTGCCTAAAAAAAAAATTAATATTTTGATATTAAATAAGAACATTTCAAAAAAATCTAATATATACTTTAAGAAACTAATTTTTTGAACTTGCAATGTACCATAAAATAAATATTAACTACAATTTGAACTATTTTAATAAATAAGATACACAAAAAAATTCAAATAAATATCTAATATACAGGAGCGTACACAAAAAATATTTGAAGGAGTCGAGGTTTAGGTTGTGCATTTTCATACTTATATAATTTATAAACCACTTTTATTCTATAAAAAAATATTTAATAATTTGCCTGAATTTCCGGTTGAAGGGGGTTGAACCCCTAAACCCCTCATCATATGTATGTGCATGCTAATAAATATTATAAAAACTCTGTTTTTCATACATTTAGTCGTGTATTATCAAATGTTATCAAATATTATCAAATATTATCAAATGTTAGATTATATACCACTAAAACTATTGCAATATGAGGTTGAAGCTTATTAAAATTATTTTTAAAATAAGCTTAAAAATTTAAATAATTATTGCTAAATTTAGAAATATCTAACAAAAATTAATATTTTTAGTTGGTCGTATTATTGATATTAATATAACAAAATTACACAAAAATTAAACTTAAAATAAATTTGAAAAAAATTATATAAGACATCATCATTCTTAAGATATACATATAATGAATACTAACTTGTTTACTAAAATGAAACTTAGTTGTAAGTTCTTCGAAGCAAATAGCTAATAATGATACACATGTTAAGTCTCTGATATTATCTAAAGCTGAAAATGATATAACTTCTTCAACAATAGAGGCTTGTAGAACACAAATGTTTATCTGAAATATTAATTTAATAGTTAGTTTTAAATATTATACTTAGTTTATTACAATTAAGTCCTCTCTAAAATTAAAATATAATGTAACATTAACTTAATACTAAAAGCATATGTACAAGTATTAATGAAAACTGGAATAAATCTCAATAAATTGAGTATTAACTAAGTTTAAGACGCAAACAATAATTTAGAAACTTACTTTTGGTAAAATTACAGTTCCTTGTATTTGTGAAGCAATAAACTCTTCATAAATGCGATTCGGTTGTTGTAAATCTAGTGGAGCATCTTTGTTTACATTTGTTTTTACTCTTTCCACTGTGCTTCTTTTACTTCCTCCACCTTGCATTTGACTTAAATATTTATCACGTTTAAGTATATTAGCAGCTTCAACACGACTAATACAACTTGAATGCAAATGGTTTAAGACAGTAAGTGGGTGAAGATTACTAAATGTTGGAATTAAACTATCAACAAATCTGTAAAATATAAATAAATTGTAAAACTGTTAAACATTTTTTAAATAATTGTATTATTTTGTTACAAACTTTTGTAGTGATTCTAATGCTAATGGGGTTACCATTAAATCAATATCTCCTTTAAGTTTAATAACAACAGTTGTTCTAGTGCCTGTTTCACTCCTTAATGATACCATTTCCTCTTCACAATCTGAATAATAAATTTTATTACACATATTACTAATATACATTAAATAATAAATAATTTTAATTAATTAAAATATAATTATTAATGTATACCAATTTCAAATGTTTCTTTCGCATTCTGAGTAAAATCAAACTGTGATTGATCCCATGTATACTTTTTAGAGGTATGTGTTGATGCTGTAAGTGGACTAGGTTCCTTCTCTTTAATATCAGTTCTAGACACCATTTTTAAGCTTGTAAAACCTTCAGTTGTAGTTTCAAATTTAGGTAAAAATCTACTACCTGTAAAGTTGTGTTTTAGTATGTTACTATACTTTCATAAATACAAGAATTATAGACTAACCAATAAATACAAGACGATCATCTACAGTGGGCTGATAAATTGGAACAGTAAACACATCAGAACCTGCTGGTAATGATGTTTGAGACCAATTTGTACAGCTCGTTTGTGACAAATGATTTGTGTAGGTAGTGAGTAATAATGGAGAATCCACAATAGGCTTGTTAATATGCATATGTAAATTTACAAGTGCCAAATCTTCTTGAGATGATACAGCAGACATAAAAGATGTGCTAGAAATTGATCGAGAATCTGATGAATCTATAATCCCAGCATCATTTTCCTAAAAATTAGATTTTAAGAATTATAATTGTAATACTTAAGAAATAATAAATTAATACTATTATTTGTTTTAATATAAACATACATTTTCAATTAAATGTTTAGATTTTAAGAATGGACTTTGAGTTATATCTCTGCTCATATCTACAGCAAGTAATGTTTTTTCATCATCAGCTAAATCACACTATACAACAACACAAATATTAAAAAATATATTTTATGAAAATTAATTAGATTTTACTTCTAAGGTATCTATATTTATTATTGTATGGTCTTGAAGGTTAACTGATGAATCATTAAGAACTGGAATATTGCTTAATACAGCTGGACTGTTTGATATCATTGTAGTTTCACTTCCAAAATGATTCCTTAAACATAACATTCATTAAAGATTTATGATTCTGTTTGTTAATTTAGATACTAACTTGATAAATGATTCCATTGGACCAATACCACTGTTATTTAAAGAACTTTTTAATGAAGAACACCGGGTTGAACCTAATGGAATTCGTTCAGTACTTTTTAGGCTACTAGTTAAAGTAAGATCTTCCTCAGCTGAGAAAAACACTTCAGATGGATTATCACTAGTTATTGATATTGTTCGTGAATATGGATGTTTTGAACTGGTCTGATGCAAGGAATCAGTATTAGCAGCAGTACTCTATACACATCATATAAGATATAACAGTTAAATAAAGCCCGATTTAAAAAGTTTAAAAAATTCCGGTCACTCTCACCCAGCTATTTGGGACAAATAAAAATACGTACTGAATTACTCTGTGCACCAGATATAAGTGCATTATACTGTAGGGCTGTTGTATTAAAATAGTCAACAGCAAGTCTAGAGTCTGAGACACTATACTTTGGACAAGCACCATTGTCTACAGCTAGTGTATTTTCGGGTACACTCAGTATAGACCTAGTGGTATTAAATCTGAGAGGTGATGGTGGTCGTGAATCCATTTTAAGTATAGGGGTTGGACTGGCATCGATTAGACGCGAATATGGCACTTCGCGACTTATTGTTTGTATTCCATTTAGTCTAAAAAATGAATAATAAGCGATATTTTGCTTTTTGTATTGCTAAAAAAAGTTCCAAACAAACCTGCTGGCAGCAGATGAATACGAGAAACGTCTAGATAATGGGTGTGTAGGCAAAGGAGAAGGTATATCTTCACTGTCTATTGTATATGGTAAATTTGTTGGGGCATTAGGACTGCTCTTGCTTCCCTCAGATTGATCTTGGTACATCTAACAGGAACCGATTACATAATTTTATTAAAAAGCATGTAGTTTTATTTTATTATTTTAAAAAAATAGTTATTAATTCTGTTTAATTATAGAAGATAGCATTCTTTGTTAAAAGCATAAAATATGGGACATTTCAGGTCCCAAACAGCTGGATTCGTACAAAGCAATTAATATACATATATACACCATCTATTTGATTTAATGCATTCAAAATACTATAAGTATATATAAATTATTTATGTAAGATAGTATAAAATTTAAATATAATTTGAATAATTTCTAATACTATGTTGAATAAAACTGGTGACATAGCATCACTCTGCCTTAGTTCAGTTGTCACTTGTACCGTTTTCGATAAGGTATGTCCTACTTTTACCTTAGTATTAGTACTTAGTAGTAAATTAATAATTATTATTTAATAATTATTGTTACTCATAAGTGAGTATAAATGCATTGGAGACTAGGTACTCTTTCACTCGCACGTGCACGCATGTTACATATGCGACAGCTGTTTAAGGTATAAAACTATAAACTATAAAATATAACATTTAACATTTATTATTTTTATTTACAATATATAGGTTGATCGGACCTAGTATTACATCATTGTAAGTAGCTCATTAGAAATTCTTATTTTATTAATATTCACATATTCTATACACCCACTTTTTTTAATTTTTAATTTGTTCATAGAGCACAGATATGTCATATGAAGAGGAAAGTATAGAAAAAAAATAAAAATAAAATTCACACAGAATAAATCATACCAAAAGGACATGGTGGATTTTTTTATTTTAATTAATTTACTTTATATTCATATTTATGATATTTTTAATTTTAAAATAATAATTTAAAAAAATTGATCTCTACTTTGTTTTTTTTATTACATGTCATATTTTTGATAAGTTATTGATACCGATATGTTGAATTTTCGATATATACCTAGGTATGCACTATGTATAAATATTAAAAAATACTAAATACTAAATAAAAATAAACTGGTTTTTCGATTTATCGATAAATTGATTTTTTAATATGTCGATATTTCGATGCCGTGATAAAATATTGGTTGTAACAATTCGATATTGATATTTAAAAATATATTGTTTGAGACCCCTAATATTTATAGTTAATAGATATGATTTCTTTGAAACATAAGTTTACATTTTGGACATATAAATTATAAGCATTAAAATTAATTTTAAAAATTATTTAAATTATATGACAAGAATAACAAAATAAGGTTTTATATTAGTGAGTGAAATATTAACAGCATTAACAAGTATTTCAGTCACACTTGGTTTAACTACCATAATTTAAATTGTTTAATTATAAAGAAATTAAAAGCTAATAATTATATTAAAGTACTCATAGTTTGAAGTTTGCTCACCTAACCTTTTATACTTATATATTTATCTTAAAATACAATTTGAATTAATTCTTTATTACCAATATATGATATAATTAGTTGTGTTGTTTACATAATTTTATATTAATATGAAAGTATTGCTCTCATGACTTTTTTTGAAACAAATAAATAAATAAGTTAGAAGTTTCTTTAAGTCAAAATAAGTAATATCATAATTATTTAAGATATCAAAAATTATTTGAAATGTATAAAATAAAATTAATACAATATCTACATTTGTTATCTTTGCATGATGTCTTAAAACATAACAAATGCATTTACTGTAAAGCATTACAATTTGTAACAAATAATAAACTGTGCATATAGCATAATAGTATAATTGTATATAACAATAAATACTATTTATAAATTATTAGATAAAAATACTAATTATAATCAATAATTAAATAAATTAATGAAACAAGAAAATCAACTGAACATCTTTATATTTTGTCACTAGTATATATTAAATATTTAGTATATATATATATACTAATATAGACTTCTTGTTTTCTAAATTCAGTAAATTTATTATAAAAAAACTGAACTGCCAATGCTACAAATATGTTTATTTTTATATGTATTTAAAATAAAAATAATAAATGTAATGCATCTTATAACAAAATTCTAAAATAATAACAAATTTAATAAACATTATACATGAGTCTTAAGCACGAAATAAAAAACAAAAATAAACTTTTTTTTACCTTGTTTACATGACGAATATTTGGCCACTGTGGAATTGGATAGTCATGAATAACAACACCACTACCAATATTATAAGGTGGTGTATGAAATATTAATTGACAATCATGTAAAATACTTTGACCAAATCCTGGATCTTTTTCACTTTCGTTTATTCTGTAAAATAATGATTTTAAGATAAAATCTATTTTAACTTAAAATTAACATTTATTGAACCTAAAAGCTGCAATATTGATGCCATCATTAATATCATTTCTTGATGGTTTGAAAAAACGTTGACCATTCAAATTACGACCAAAAAATGCACAGCCTCCAACACAACCACATTTTCCAGTTACTAAAGACCTACTGTCACTCGGCCACAAAAACCATAATCTTTTGTAACGGTCATCATGAAGTTTAAGGTATCTATAATAGGTTAGTTTTAAAATTGTATAGAATTTACAATTATATTATAATTTAAATTAAAGTATTTTTAAAATACTAATAACATACTTGTGTTGAACTAGATGGAGATTTTTATCAGAGTCAGATAATGAAGAAGCCAACTCAAGAATAAAAGGTCCTAAAGATGCAGAGCCAATTTCTAGCCAAATTTCTTGATTTTCAGTGGAGGAACCACTAATATTTCTAATAAACCATACAATAAAAAAAATAACCAGTTAAGAAACCAGTCATATCCAAAAAAAA